ATCTACGGAAAATTCCGTAGATAATGTTCCGTAGATAACGTTATCTACGAAAAATTCCTTAGATAACGTTATCTACGACCATTTTATCTACAGATTTTTTTCCTAAATTTCGTAGATAATTGACATTTATCTACAGATTTTTATGTTTATCTACGGATTTTTCCGTAGATAATCTTGATTTTTCTTGTAGTGAAAACATAAGATTAAGGTCACTTTCATTTGGCACTAACTTGTAGATTTTTATGAAATATCAAATATTAGTGTCATTTACATAATTTAAATCACGTTGATTTGTTGGACAAAAAATACATAAACTTGAATGCAATGTACATTTATTTATCATAGTTTAAAAATAACTAAATTAAAAGATAAAATGTAGAATGAGAAATCAAATTTGTTTTGCTCTTTTAATAACATTTCTTATGTATAATGCTTACCAAAATATTGGAAAGTGTTGGTCAAAAATGAAAAAATATTGATGTGGTAAATTTTTTTGCAACATGTTGTGTATACACACTACGTGACTATACTTTATAACTTATTTTAAGTCAAAATTTATATAAATATTGGGTGTTCCCATCCCATCAAATCATCCTTACTTTCTCTTCCTTTAAAGTTGTAAAAAAATAAAAATACATGATAAATCATGTAAGATAAAATTTAGCAGTAACAAAACTAATAGAAAGTAAGACATTGAATAGGGACCAAAAATTGAAAATTACTTTTAAGAAAATAAAATAAAACTTAGAATATATATATATATATATATATATATATGAGGAGGGATTCGTTTACTCGAGGAGTAAGTCTACCTAGATTTACTCCGTTCAATAAGTTATGTTCTACATCAAATTTTAACGATCCAACCATTGAATTTAAAGTTCTTAATGCATAGATCAAATCTACAAATTTTTTTAAAATTTGAAAATCATTTGATATTTCATTTCATTAATTCAAATCAATGTATAAAATGATTTTATGATTATCCGTTAATTTGAATTAATGAAATGAAGTATCAAATAATTTTAAATTTTTTAAAAAAAATTTGCAGATTTGATCTATATATTAAAAACTTTAAATTCAACGGTTAGATTATTGAAATTTGATGTAAAACATGAATTATTGAATGGAGTAAGTATAGGTAGACTTACCCTTACAGTAAACGGATATCTTCTCTCTCTCTCTCTCGCTCTCTCTCTCTATATATATATATATAAGAAGGATTCAAACGACACCGGTGTAACTTTTACTAAGTGTTACACTGCTCAATAACTTTATATTAAATGTGAATTTTGAAAATCCAACCGTTAGATTGAATGTTTATATCTCTTAGATTATATATATCAAATTTTATATTAATCTAAGATGATTTGATACTTCATTCTCATAAAACAAAATTGACGTAATATATATTTCAAAATATATTAAAATATGAACATTTTGATTACCTTCAAGTTGTTGTTCAATTTTAACAAAATTTGACATATATGATCTAAGAGATATGAACTTTCAATCTAACGGTTGAATTTTCAAAATTCACATTTAATATAAAGTTATTAAGCAGTGTAACACTTAGTAAGTTACACCGGTGTCGTTTGAACCCTCCTTATATATATATATTAATATATATATATATATATACACACACATGTAAAAGCAAACTTCACATTGCATATCAAACATAAGTTTTAAAAATGTAAATACTTTTAGAAGAACAAAATAATATTGAAAATAAAACTAAAATTCATAATATAAAACACACAAATTATAGCGATCTAGGTCACAAATGGATGTAACTCTACTTATGAGTCAAAACTTATCTAAATAATGGTGTTTATAGCAGAATGAAACCAAAATGAAAGAAAATCATCATATAAACAATCTGTACAATAATCTTCTCAAAATATTGCGAACCAAAATGAAAGAATAAACCTAAAAATGAGGAACAAAAGAAAACGAAGTGGAACGATAAAAATAATAATAATAATAAATAAAAAAAAGATAAACCAAAAGAAAAAGAAAAGTAAACATAAAAACAATAAAAATAAACTTTGATTTGACTTTTTAATTTATTCAGAGACTGAACACGAAGACAATATTTTCTCATAGCCTCTAAGAAATAACACCTATTACCATTGCTTATGCAAGTGAGGGAACCATGTTAAAGAAAAATTTGACGATGAAAATGAAAAAAAAAAAAAGGTTTTATTTTTATAAGAAAAAATAAGAAAACTAAGAGAATGAGTTATTAGACACCAATACATTCTTTTATTATAAGTAATAGAATACATTATATTATTATAAGTAAATAGATGGTTAAGTTCCTCCATAAAAAAAATTCTAAAAGGAATCAATTTATTATACGTTAGAAATCACTGTTTTTTTACCATTTCACAGTGTACAACATGTGTTAAACCCAATTATTTGTTTGATAAGTCTAATTCATTTGATAATGTCTCAGATCCTGTATATAATAAATTAATTCTCCAAGGTGGGGATATGTCGTAATAATACCAATTGAGTACATGTTAATTAGCTGGGCATAAGCTAGGAGTTGGATGGCCAAACAAATATTTAAATAATTTACATGTTGAGATTATTAAATAATTTTTTGAAGTCTAAGTTGACTTCGACCTATTTTTATACACACACGAGTACATTGTATTTTATTACTATTATTTTTCAATTTTGCTTTCGTTTTGCGGTTTACTTTGGAAACATGATAAGTTCTAGTGATTCACAATCTGTTCAATTCAAAACAACAATTCGTCCATTCCATCTCTTTCACAAAATGTCCTTTCTCTTTAATTTTTTATAGATTGAACGATAGGGAAGATCAAGGTGCACGAAGAACATTTAATAAGAAGACAAATTTCATATTTTCATAGATATGCAAGTAAAACACAGAAGTATTGTGTAAAATTGACGTTTCAACCGCACCATTATGCATCTCATAATGTAGTTATCGTGGGATATTGTGACGATAAACGGAAACAATCGGTGACAAAGCAAAGATTATTAAGTGTTTTCAAAAGTCTAAGCTGACTACAACCTGTTTATTACACACGCGTTATATGTTTTCTTTTCTTTCTTTTTTATGTATAATTCTTGTCTAATACTTTCTCTTATCCTTATTATAAAACTTAAATAACTATTTTTATCAAAATTAAAAAAAGTTAATATTTTTTTGTGATGAATAAATGTCTTAAACTTATACTTTATTTTTAAAAAATTATCCCTAAACATTTTATATGTGATTTCAAAGTTTTTGCATTCCAAGAATAAAAATAGGAGACTACTTGTATTTTAAGAAGCATATACTAAATGAATTTCACATATTTATTGAATTCAAAAATTTCTTTATTAAGAATATTCTTGTAAAGTAAAAAAAAAAATTAATGTTTGAGACATAATGGATTAAGTTTTACAAAAAGAACAAAACTAATTTAAAATTTTGAGTCCTATAATAAGGAATGAAGAGAGTATATTTACTCTAGAAACTTGATAAATTCTAGTGATTTACATACAAGTTAGCTTCTCTATCAATATAATTTGTTGGAGATCTCATACGGACTAGTGAGATGATTATAATAGTATATATAAGTAGGGAATAACTCTCATCATATAAATTTGGTTTTATAAGTTAAGTCTTAATTCATATGCTTAAGATGATATAAAAAAACTATCATAAAGAGTGTTGTTAAATTTATCAAATCATCCATAATTGGATTGATATTGAACTATCCACAAACATTTAGTCTATGGAGTAAAGAACGATACTAAAAGGAAGAGTTGGATAATGTAAGTCTCAAGGAACGATACTAAAAAAACTCAATTATTTAATTTTCAAAAACAGTGAAGTATTAATGTAAGTCTCAAGGAATGTAAATGAAGCAAAAGACAAAGAACACAAGATGTTTTTGTACTAGTTCGTCTCAATTACCATAACTATGTATCTATAATTCTTGATCAACTCGATCAAGTTTCACTATCTTTAATTTACAAATAAACTAAAAAAATTTCATAATTCACTTCTGACTCAACTTAAGTATTATTTGACTTGTCTTTTTAAGTAGACTATCTAAGTATTCTTCGAACAAAAAATTCTCTTTAGACTTCAAAACCAAGTATTAAACAACAAAGTCTCTTCAAGTTTCAAGTTAAAACACATAATTGAAATTGGATAAGGATAACAATTATTTCATCTTTTTCACAAGACAAGATACAACTTTTAAGTACAAATATTTTCACAAAAAGAAAGAAAGAATGAAACAATTGAAGTTGTTCTTTCTTCTTTTCGAGTTCTCCAAGCTTTTTTAAATATGTGCATATATGATGATGATCGTTGTGAAAACTTTGAGTTTCGCTCGCACACTTGCTTCATCTTTCTTTTCATTTTCTCTTTGTATAATAAGATATCTATTAGTGCATTAAATCAAACCTTCTAACAAAAATCAAACCCTGGTTCCTTTGTGAAATTAGAAGAAAATAAACTTTTATTTCTTCAATAACATAGAAACATATGATATGATGATTATATATAATAAGAAAATATATAATCCATTCCTCTTAGACAAACAAAATTTTGTGCTTGATAGACTTGTCAAAAGGCATATCATCACATAAAATTATCTTATATTATCATTTTATTTATAAAATTTTATAAACAATTTTTTATATTAAAAATATTTAAATTTGTTAGCATTAAAACATTAATTTAGGAAGGATTTAAGATGGCTCCTCCCAGCGAGGGTGAAAGAGACATTAATTTCCACATTCTATCTCCATAAAAAGACCCCTTGCTTAGTGCTTATACCTTCTATCACCCAAGACTGTGGAGTTATCTTTGTATAGAGCCTATCGAATCCGTTATTATCCAAACTCGTTCCTTGTGGGCCTGTTGGCAATAGGCCCATACTAGCATACACGTTACCACGGGTGGGTGTTTACTGTGTACTGTGTACTGTGTACTGTGTACTGTGTAGTGTGTAGTGTTTAATCTTCATCATTATCAAACACTAAAGCTAAACAAAACAAAACCCTCTCTGAACCCTATCTCTCTCTCTCTCACACATGGCTCTCTCCAAACCCACCTTCTTGACGCACCTCCGCGCCCTCGCCAACACCCGCCGCCGCCCTCCCTCTGCGATCTCTCTCCGCCTCCTCTCCTTCTCCTCCCCGGAGGAAGCCGCCGCCGAGCGCCGCCGCCGCAAGCGCCAGCTCCGCATGGAGCCCCCCCTCTCCGCTCTGAACCGCACCCAAAGCACCCCCAAACCCCAATCCCAATCCCAAACCCCCTACTACCTAAACCCTAACAACCCCAAGCTCCCGGAACACGTCTCCGCCCTCTCCGGCAACCGCCTCAACCTCCACAACCGCATCCTCGCCCTCATCCGCGCCAACGACCTCGACGAGGCCGCGCTCTACACGCGCCACTCCATCTACTCCAACTGCCGCCCCACCATCTTCACCATCAATGCCGTCCTCGCCGCCCTCCTCCGCCACTCCCGCTACTCCGACCTCCTCTCCCTCCACCGCTTCATCACGCAGGCCGGCGTCGTCCCCAACATCATCACCCACAACCTCCTTTTCCAAACCTACCTCGATTGCCGCAAACCCGACACCGCCTTGGAACACTACAAGCAGTTCCTCAACGACGCCCCCATGAACCCCTCCCCCACCACCTACCGAATCCTCATCAAGGGTTTGGTCGATAACAGCAAACTCCAACGCGCCATGGAGATTAAAACCGAAATGGATTCCAAAGGGTTCGCCCCTGACCCTCTTGTTTACCATTACCTGATGTTGGGCCATGCTAGGGTTTCTGATGGTGATGGTGTTCTGCACCTCTACGAGGAGTTGAGAGAGAGGTTGGGTGGGGTTGTGGAAGATGGGGTTGTTTTTGGGTGCTTGATGAAGGGCTATTTTATTAAGGGGATGGAGAAGGAGGCTATGGAGTGTTATGAGGAGGCTTTGGGGAAGAAGAAGATGAGTGCTGTAGGGTATAATTCTGTGCTTGATGCGCTCTCCCGGAATGGGAGGTTTGATGAGGCTTTGAAGGTTTTTGATAGGATGATGAATGAGCATGAGCCTCCTAGAAGGTTGAGTGTTAATTTGGGAAGCTTTAATGTGATTGTGGATGGGTATTGTGATCAAGGGAGGTTTCAGGAGGCGATGGAGGTTTTTAGGAAGATGGGGGAGTATCGGTGTAGCCCCGATACGTTGTCGTTTAATAACTTGATTGAGAGGTTGTGTGATAATGGGATGGTTGTGGAGGCGGAGGAGGTTTATGGGGAGATGGAGGGGAAGGGGGTGAGTCCTGATGAGTTTACTTATGGGTTGTTGATGGATGCTTGTTTTGGGAAGGATAGGGCTGATGATGCTGCTGGGTATTTTAGGAAGATGGTGGAATCTGGGTTGAGGCCTAACTTGGCTGTTTACAATAGGTTGGTTGATGGGTTGGTTAAGGTTGGGAAGGTTGATGAGGCCAAGTCTTTCTTTGAGCTCATGGTGAAGAAGCTTAAGATGGATGTTGCTAGCTATCAGTTCATGATGAAGGTGCTGAGTGATGCGGGGAGGTTGGATGAGATGCTTCAAATTGTTGATACGTTGTTGGATGACAATGGGGTTGATTTTGATGAGGAGTTCCAGGAGTTTGTTAAGGGGGAGTTGAGGAAAGAAGGGAGAGAGGAGGAATTGGCCAAACTCATGGAGGAGAAAGAAAGGCTGAAAGCTGAGGCTAAGGCTAAGGAGGCCGAGGCAGCCGAAGCTGCCAAAAGAAGTGCAAGAGCTGCAGTAGCTTCTTTGCTTCCATCCAAGTTGTTTGGGAACAAGGAAACGGATTCGGAATCTAAACCAGAGGGTGAAATTCAAGCTCTCAATGAAGGTAGCACTGATGCTACTACTTCTGAGGCAGAGTTGGCAGAGAAAACAACTGAAACTGAGGGTGATAGAGAAAACATCTGAGGTACCAGCATGAGTTGGAACTTCTTGGTGCTTTAGGTGAGAGGTATGATAGATAACTTGATGGTGCTTGGATGAGGAGGTATGATGTCTTTGTCAATTTGCCAAAATGGATTTGAATCATCAACTATGTTACCAACATTTTGATTCATTCTACTTGTAATTAAATTTGTTGGAAAGGATTTTGCAATTTATGGTTTTCCCATTTTACAGTACCGCGTTATTGGGGTGTTGGTCTAAACCTTCTCGAAACCCCCTGTAGTGGAGCAACAAGATGTTGGAACTGTGATTATGGCATGTTTTATTTCTAAAATGGAATACTGTTTCTCTGGGAATTATGATGGATTTTCTTAAATTGAAAGTGAAGCAATATTGACATTGGGGTAGACGACTGGTTAGAAGAAAGATGAAGCAACTTATTTTATTTTGTGCACTGGGGTGAGTTGTGAACAACATTATAGTGCGTATAAAGCATACTTCTTTTCACTGTTCTGCTACCAATGATCTCCTTCGCCTTCATGCAGCGTGCGCTCAAACATTCAATTTTCCAAACATTTTTAAGTTTCGATCAAATTGCCAAGCTGCTGAAGCAAATCTTACAATTCAGTGTGGGTTTCGAAGGAATTGGTTTTAGAGATTATTTTAATAATCCATCACAGATATAATTGATAATCGTTATAATTTTTTTATTATATGGATTTTGGAGAATAAAATTGTTTAGATAAATATGTTGTCGGAGAAGTGCTTTTATGGTATCTTGTTTTCATTATCAAAAATAGCTAGCTTTTATGATAAAATTATCAAGAAGCATGTATGAAGAGTTTAGTAATAGTTAATTAACTAATTTTGTATTTACGTTGATCAATTGATGGGGATAAAATAGAAAAATAAAAATATGCGAAATAAATGTTATTTTGTATTCATAGCCTCAAAAATTCAAGTGAATGCATAATTACAATAAAATAAATTGCAGCTTTATGGGATACAACAATATGCAATTTAATTTTGATGGGAATTGAGAATTGTTAGATTTAAACCCGAGAAAGAACCCACCCATCTGGAAAGTGTATTCCAAAAAAGGGTGTAGAATAACTGTCATACTCATGGGCACGGTGTATGATTAGAATGTGTAATAATAGCTGTTGAGGAGAAAGTTAGTAGTTATATATCATTGGTAATATTTGATCTAATTTATTGAGTTTTTAAGTTTAAGAAGAAATTGGATTAAACAAATCATTTTATGAGTTAATAAAATACTATATTTGTCGAAGAGAATTTTAAAAAGAAACTTCAATAAAAATAATTTTAAGATTTATTTTACTTCTATTTCTTTTTATTTCGAATTTGAACATAAGATCAAATACCCAAAGAAATTCAAACTTAAATTTAAAAGTAATATTAAGAGTTTTAACTTCTATATTTTTTTCTATTATTTCATGTTTCAACATTCTAGATCATATAACCAAAAGAAATTTTAACTTTGAAGGTGACTTTTAAATTTTAAAAAGTTTATATAACTTTTAAACAATGTATAGCTTTTAGCTTCTAAGAGCATTTCATTTATAAAATTCTACTACTGTATTCGAACTTTTTGAAAACTAGAATTGAATGCTTGTACAGTTTATTTGATTTGACTCTGCTTGTTACTTTCACGCGGTTTGAACAGTTTCTTAGTCTAAAACGGGTACTATATTAGGCATTTAAAACCATTATAAATGCCAAAACCCTTTGAATGTATCTGCATTCTCAAAAACTTTAACTAAAAATCTTTAATTATGGCAACTGGCAACCAACTTAACTCTTGATGTTTAGAGCAAGAAACACGAATTCCAATTTCCACTATCGAATTACAATCAAGCAAATTTGAAAGAAAAAAAAAATCTTGTTTATTACACAGCTTATGAATCTGAAAATTTAAGAGCCACCTTAGTGCCTTAATCTATTACAACAAGCACAAAGTTGGTATAAATACAGCCCAAAAGAGTGTCTCAAACACACAAAATGATAAAAATGCCCTTCAAATAACATGTTAACTACAGAGATTTGGCATGCACACTCCAGCATCCGGATTCTGTTGTTCCTTCCATATTCTTCCTGTAACTCTGAGTTTAAGCTCCTTTTTATCCCCACCAGAGAAAAATAGGGCCATATTTCTTTGAATAATGAGCCCATCATGGCTATCCCTAACCTTACGGTGGCTATCCCGAACACTTCGCGGTGTACCCTCCCAAATGAGTTTCCTGCCATTGGCTCCAACCTCTAGACTATAGCTATAATTCCGAGCCTCATTCTCATCACCCATAAAACGAAGAAATGCCATGTATACAGGTGCCATGCCAAGCTGGAAAGCTTCAAAATGAAGGCAGAAATATTGGCCAAAACAATGAAACACCTATCAAAGAAAATGAGTCCGCAAACAAAAGAATCAGAGGCAATGAGGAGTATAAACTGAGATAAGATTACACGTGGCAGCTAGACGGTGTATTAAAATAAACATGCTGTCCTTAGCCATCACTCTACAATAAGAGGAAAAAATTGTTTAACTAAACAGAGCCTGTTTGAATGCAAGTTTATAATAATTTTTAAGAATTTTTCTATCCAAACAGACTCACAAATATGGTTGAGCCATGTAAAACAGCAAAATAAGGGAGTGACAAAATAATTGTCATGAGCATTTATAGCATTTTATCATAGCCTCAGTTCCCTTATCTCTTCCCTCAACAGCCTACCTATAGAAGTTTGATGAGCAAATATGTGGTGGTAGTGAACATTGGAAAATGTATCCATAAACGATTTTTTGAACAGAAAATATATGACAAAGGGAGACAATCTCCTCCCCCACCCTCTTCCAGGATTTCAAAATTGAATGAAAAAATGTGATACACTTACTGTGAGCATCCAGGTTGCATTCTCCACTTCACGCGGATTTGATTTCACATAACGGTGGTTGAATGTGCATCCTGTGTGCATGTCTACTTTATGATCGTCCCTCAAATGAGCAACAAGGTAAGGAATATCCCCAACAACAGAACAGTCCGATCCAGCATAAGGACAACTATATGGTCTAAAATTACAAACTGTCTCATGCTTAAGCTTGCTGTAGTATGGGAAGATTTCTGGACATCCAAGAGAGTAGTACTTGCAAGGCAACTCAAGTGATTCAGCCACCTTCTCCAGTGCCAGACACCTGATATCTCCAAGCTCTTGTCTACAAGTGGGACATCGGTTGTGCACCCTTGTTTTACACGTGGAACAAAGTGTATGGCCGTTGTGACACTGCAAAGAAACTAATTGTTACATTTTCTCTCCCATTTTAGCATTTATACAATACCCTTTATGCAACTTAAATCATGACAATATCAACTTTTGCACAACTTGAATGAAGAAATTAACCCAAGAGTTGCAGAATAAAAAATTGGCTAAAGTTTTAAAGATTGGAAGAAATTTTGGGCTATAGCTCTCTCCATATTGACTATTGAGCACTGAAAGTACCAAACATTTGAAGAATTAACCTCATTAAATCTACTTTTAACTAATTCAAGTTCCCAGAGAAGTTGTACCCAGCAAATAAAACTCTGTCGTTAACTTTGGTCAAAAGAGACCATAGGGTGTTGTCATTAAATCCAAGTAACTCCCAAGTGAAAAATAAATTTTAAAAGGGGGTGATAGAGCTGCATTTGTTTAATTTCAAAGATCACTTCAGCTTAACTTAGGTTGTAGCCGAAGAAAGGTGCCTTAGGCAAACAATAGGTAGATTTTAAATCCGTAGTTTTCACTTGCATATCTATCTATTTTGGGATGGGCTTGCTTTTCTAGCCTGTGTTTCAGCTTTTATAGGTCTTTTGAGTTGGAGATTCCTTGAGTCGACCGTTTGCTCTCGTTGTTCTTCCTACTTTTTTTTTAGTTACATTCTTCATACCCTAGGAGATTTCTCATAAGATTTATGTGCATTGAGTTTCACATTCAGGTATGTATAAATACAAAAAGACACATTGAATTAACCACTTTCAACAACATTATCAACAAATTTCAACCAAGACAATGCATTTGAATACATTGACAATTAACATCCTGCAACTCTGAAACATATCTAACCTGAAGCATTTTTCACACAATACAAGTATTCCCTTTGTTTCCTATTATTAGCAAAAAAACAATGATTTTATGCATATTATGAAAGTTACTTATCCGCATTAAATTTTACTACTTCCACAATATTCTTTCAAAATTGTCTTTGTTATAAATACCAAAAGTAGTGCAACCGAGAAATCATACATTAAAAAAAGATATTTTAGAGATAAAAGTAGTTAAAATTTCCTTATATTTAAGAACAATTTTTTTTTATATTATTATAATAGAGAATAGAGGGAGTAAACAAAGACTTCATACAATTTTGGGTCCAGCTATCATGAGAAACAAATAATCATGCTGTATACATCAGAACTTCTAGTTAACTAACTCATAAAAAGCCAAATCCGTGGCTCATTACTCATAAGCAAAATACGTACACTATTCTAAAATCAACTTCCCTCAAATGAAATATGTCTAGAATCGGAAACACTGGTAACCACTAAAAGCAGAAAAGGAAGTTTTAAACAGCACCATAAAACCCTTCTCCATGGCCAAATACATACAACCAAGAAGAAATTAAAATTTGACAACCATCTACGTGACACCTTATTACCATGAATTGCAAGTATTGTCATATAATTGCACAATCATCAATTCCAGTCCAAAACCAAATCTAAGTTACCCTTATCCCCTACCCCCTAGAAAAAACTCAAACTCAGTCAAACCAAATCCACTCAACCCCTTCTAAGAGCCATCAAATTCAAATTCATCAAAAGATGCCAAAGATAAAAATGAAAATTTGGTGAAAGAACAAACCTGATGAATTGGAGGGTACATTGAATTAGTACACACAGGACATTCCAGCAACTCATGGACGCTGGTTGCCGGAGCCATGGCATTGGGGCCCACAGAATTGTTGTTATTAGTGCCTCCATTGCGAGGCTTGGTGGAAGAAAACTCAGAATGGTGAAGATTGGGGTGGATCTCATCCTCATCCATGCCATCAGAGGATGACACACACTCAACGCTGTCCAAGTCCATCTACTCACCAAAAACCCTTCCCACCAGTGAAGGTAAAATGAAGAAAGCAGAAACACCCAGTAATCAAAATCCGAAATTTCACCGAATTAATCACCTGGGTATTCCCCTTTCTCAATCCTCTTCTCTCTTCAATTCCCTGTGTTCTTCGGAAAAAGAACAAGAGAAAGAAGATGGAGATGGACGTGGATCGGTAAATGGATGAATGGGAGGAATCCTATAAAACCAAACACCGTTCTGGTGAAGAACAGGTTCTTTTCTTCGTTGTCTCTCTCTTTCTCTCTCTACCGAGGCTTAGGTTGTGTCGTGCTGTGAAGAAGAGAGAGAAAGGAAAAGGGAACCGTTAATTTCACAAATTAGATTGTTGATGGGTCAATCCAACGGTAACTAAATTTCTTTTACTAAAATAACAATTCATGTCATTTGTTAGGTCACGAGTTTGTTTTAATTTTAAAGTTCAATGCTTCAACCAAAACTCCCAATTACAGCCTATAACTGACTCCCGTTTACTTCACAACTTTTCAATTTTCACGGAATTCTAATATTTAATTTTTGAACAGAGTGGATAACATTTTTTTGCTAATTTCATGACAAAACTTGGCATGCAATGGAAGAACTGAATTGGGTTATCCACTTGACATTTTTTTTCTCACCCTAAACTTTACTTAAAAACATAATAATAATAGAGGAGGATACCTCATAACATTAGCCTTTTTCATTGAAAAAAAAAAAAGAAGGGATTATTTGATTTGGAACTTTGTTTGTTTTTTAATTAGAAGCAATGATCATTATGTTGGCGGTCTACTCGATTATTTTTGTGCATTTCTTCTAAAATAAGTATACGTACGTACCTAAAGATAAAATAAGGTTAAGAAAGGAAACAAAACGAAAATAATGTCGTCAAGTTACACCTAATTAAAGTTATTTTGCAATGCATTTAACAGTTAGGGGTTAATTAAGAACATAGCTAGTGTTGTTAATAAATTTGAAGTGTGAGAAGTCTTAAAATGGTATGAGCCAGACGTGATATCTTATTCGTGTGGATGCAAAGCCGTAATCAGAGGATGAAGATCCAAGGCAGTAATCAGTAGAAAGAAGTTAGACACAACGAAAATGAAGTGTGTTTAGTTCTCATTTTCTGCACTCTCACCCAACTTTTTAGAACTCTTTTATACTACGTATTAAGTAACATGGAGAGAGAGAGAGGGCACGAATGATGAAGTTTATGGTTACATTTCACAACTTGATTTTCGGTGCACGTGGCTCGGCCTGCTTTGGTGTTATGTTTGATGATTGATATCGTGATAACAAATAATACCAAATCATAAATGCAATAAATAAGGCGAGCTGACAAAATAAAGTGAGGGTATAATTAGAAGATTGAAAATAGTTGTATGAAAAGAGTAGATTATACTCCTATTTTTCTTAGATGCTAAATTGCACTTGTCGCTTTTAAATATATTTTTTATTTAGAAATTAATATAAGTTACACTTGGTGATTTTTTTAATATAAACAAATTTCTTAACAAGGTCACAATTGATAACAAGTTTTTAAAATAATAATAATAATCACGTAACACCGCGAGAAAAAAAAATGGCTCATTTATATTAAAATGAACTCGTGTATAACACAATTATTTTGTTTTTCAAGGGCGAGTGTATATTTTTAAATAAGGTAGGAGAGGAGACATTGCTCCAAGGAGCATACACTCAAATGCAAATTAATGTGAATTAATATGCACAGGTAACATTATTTAATCCAAATATTTAAAGAATACCGCTACAGAGAGTTATTCTTGCCTTAATTTTCTAAAATAATAAATATTTTAAAATTTTAATACTTTTTAAATTTTTTAAAATAACGAATACTTTTAAAACAAAATAAAATATTCAAACAGACATAGTATGAGAGCGAGACAAAACAAATGTATTTTTACTTTGATAAGGCTAGAGATGATTTCAACTTTCAAATGCAAATATATGAAATTCGTGTGTATATTATCATACAAAATCCTCATAATAGGCACTTATACATTGAATCATTATAATTAAGCCACCAAATTCTATGACTAGCTTCTGCACGTCGAGGATGCTCACTTATTTTTTGCAGCCAGAGATGCACTTGTGTCAAAACAAATATGAATTTTCTAAATACCCGCCAATGAAATGTTCAATAAAACTTGCAATTACCATTATGTTTTATTGAACCAATCGGATGTTGCTCTTCTAAAAAAAGTTATGTTGAACAGCCATTTAACGATACACATTTTTGGCTCCATAAATAATGCCACAATTTACATAAATGAATCAGGTATTACACACTTATAAGAAGTATGTGGCATTTAGTTGACCTCACTATGATATGTGCAAACGAAACTAACCACGGAGGTTACCGTGAAAAATACATCGAATTTTCATCCCAAAGCACATGGAGCCATCTGAATCTAACCCTTAATTTATTAAACAATGTATCATATGTACAAAGATTACTAAAATATTTGCAACATGTTACATGCTGGCAACAATGGAAGGAAGTTCTGTATCTGCTTCATTATCTGCTGCTGATGCCTCCATGGTCTAAAGCGCACAAACAAGCATGATTAGAAATTAATTTGATGGGAGCAGAGAGAAAATTCATGTATCACAAGTTGTTATACACACCTCTGAATCATTTTTCTGCTCCGAAAGATAACGATCCAATGCACCCTTACCATAAAGGATTTTAGCCCCTTTCCCACGCCCCTCACTTCCTACGGCCTCTTCATCAACGACAACGCCGTCTATAACATCATCGCCTGTTCTAATATCTGGAATCTGCACAAAAAATGGAACATGCTAAGCTAGATAATCTACACATTTCATGATGCAGTATAGTCCAACATGCCCGATTCCTAATCAACAGAGGCTCAATTATTACGTGGCACTCTTGTTGAAAGGGGGAGTGGGGGAGGAATATAATCTGAAACAATTTAGCCAACAAGTTTTTATGATGTGCTTGTTTGGTTCTACGTCCTGTAAACACAAAAAGTTGAAGCTACTTGATATAGCTTCTCTGTGGACCCGGGCATAAGACAAAAGTCTCCTGTGACGTGACGAGATCCCAAACACAAGGGGACATTCATTGATTATGATGAGAGACATTTAAGGATCATAACAAGATGATCAAATGAAGATCACATAATAATTAAACAAAAATGGCTGATGTAATCAATCCACTGCTTCACATATTGGTTACAGCGGTCAACCTAATGAAGATTGAAGAGCATAACTTTGATAGATGACCACTGTCACACTCACACTCAAAAAAAAAATTATGGTGACTAGGTAGTTGATTAAGTTTCAAAACTCATCTATTCTAATAGAAGTCTACATGCATGTAAGAGGGTGCCAAGGCCCAGGGCATAAAGATTGCCCAGTGTCATTTAAGTTTTACTGTCTTCGATGTTATGTGCCCCCCTGATCCTATAAGAGACACCTACACTTCATGTCATACACTACAAACAAATTATTCATCCAAAAAATATAATTTATATCATACCTCATACATGGCATCTACCAACACGCTCTCTAATATTGACCGTAATCCCCGAGCACCAGTGTTTTTAGATATTGCTTTTCTGGCAATTGATCTTAGAGCATTTTCCGTAAAATGTAGCTTTACCTGAGAAACAAGTAACATCAAATTGCTGTCAGAATAGTCATTTTCATCCCAACAAAGCCTATGATAGTCATTCAAAATCCAATCGAGCAATTGACTCCCTATTCCTTAAAACTACAATGAACAAGCAAGAAATAAGATTATTTATAAGCAGGAAGACCCATAAACTTAATGTGTTCAGGTTTTGCGTCAAGATATAGTATAAGGCCAACTATTGTATCTTTCTCATGCTTAAAATCATTGGAGAGAAAACATATCTGTAAAATATACAAGGGAATAAAGGAGGCTGGTAAAAATTTACCCCATTCATTTGGAACATCTTCTTGTATTGCTTCCCCAGAGCATTCTTTGGTTCTGTGAGTACCTATAGAAATTTAAAATAATTAACGGCATTAGATAGCAAGAAAAATGACCTGGTACAGTTTAAAAAGAAAGCACTTTTGAAGATATATTTTTAAGTAAACCACACAAAATAATTGACTGCTGAAGGAAAAGAAAAAATGAAAACAATTCCAGATCAGTCAATACTTTTGCTCATGAGAATGCCAGTCCTTCTGACTTTCTCACCATTTCTCATTCAATTGTTTAATCAATCAATATATACTTAATCCGTTACATAGATACATCATTCGGTTATGAACACAGCCAAATGAGAAAAGCATTACAGATACAATTTTTCTGAGACCAAGCTGAATTGCTACACACATGAAGCCTACCTGAATGAGTTGGTTTTCCGTTAAAGCTGATAAACTGACAAGTATAGGAAAGCGCCCAACAAATTCAGGTATTAAACCATATGCAATAAGATCACTACTTTCAACCTGCCAAATAATAATTTTCAAAGATGTAAAGATCCAAATCAAATTCAGTCGGATCGGTAAGAGCCGCTATCCTTAAAAGAACTACTTCATGAAACTTACAGTTTCTAATAACGATGATGCAACAGCAGCTTCTGTGACTTTACCAGTCCTCATGTTTGCACGTATAGGTGCTCCGAATCCAATAGAAGAATCATGCCGCCTGAGAGGGAATCAAAAAGAGTTACTAGTTGAGTACAGAAACACTGCAGACCCCATATTATTAATATCATTACTATTAAATTTTCAGGATATGTGCAACCTTTCTGAGATCGTTTTCTCTAAGTCAATAAATGCTCCTCCACAAATGAAAAGTATATTCTTTGTGTCAATCTGTGAAGAGACATGTATAGCACAAAAGATAAATAAAATGAAAACTACAGATGCTTTTAAGTAATATTAAAGTATACCAACTCTCAAATATATATATATATATATATATATATATATATATATAATATTTTCTCGCACTTTTTTTATAATATATTATTTGTATATAA